CACTTTCAGCATCCCTGGCTTCCTGGAAATCGGTCATTCTAAGCGGCGATTCGTCGACGTCAGGGGTTGCAGGTTCTTCCACATCTCTGGTGTCAACCTGGACATTCTCGGTTATGGGGCTTCTGCTTGCAAACAACGAGCTCTTGAATGGCGACGCAATCCTTTTTGCCGGGCTCTGAAGGAAAGATACACTGTGCCTCAATGGGGTCGACGTGGATTCGGCGTGGGCCTGTGAAATGAACGACGCCCCGAATAGGCCTTTTCTGGGTGACGCCTTGAGAGGGGAATTGTGCCCTGGAGTAAAGTTGGGTTGCGACAACGGCGTGCCACTGTCCAAAAAGACGCTTCCTCGCTTCGGAGTCTCCAAGTGTGCCTTCCTGGGCGACAATTTGAGCGGTGAATTGTGTGTTGGGGAGAGATGGGGTTGTGATAACAACTTGGGGTCATCGCGTGGAGCGAACGCTCCACGCTTGGGTGTTTCTCTCATTGAGAAGTTGAAAGGCGAAGGGGGTGGTCGACGAGCAGGGCTGGACATAAGGAGTGTATCATTAAAGTCGATCGATCGTCTAGGGCCAGGCAGAGGCTCGCCGTTCTCGTCGAGAGATTTCCGGAACTTTCCAGTGATATTGATCTTCTTCACTGGTGAACTAAGACCGGTATTTTCTGATCCGTGTTTGGGGGGTGAGTTGACAACAAACTTGACCTGACCTTTATCGCCGCTTAGCTCGTCGTCCTCTCCATCCGAGTCGGCGTACGACGAAAGCGCTTTGGCGACCTGCGTTGCCTTCTTCGGCGAAAGAGGTTTAGGACCCTCCTTCTTGGCCGTCGCCGGCTTCCGGCCCTTAGCGGAGGTCGCTGCAGGTTTGCGAACCGGCTTGGACGCAAGACCTGCCTGACGTCCAGGCCCAATCGTCCCTCGTCGCATTCCAGCAGCCGGCGGGGGAGATGGCTCGCTCATGTCTTCTTCTGCAGTTTCGGACGGATCCTGGAATGTAACCTTCTTCTTCTTCGCCGGTCCACGCAGCATATTCGATCTCGCTGTCGTAGAGTTCGTCGCAATATACACACGTTTGGGCGCTTCCTGCGATGAAGAGAAATCGATATCGGTGAAACCTTTCGCATTCAGTCGCGTGTTTTCCTTCACAGGATCGACTGGCTTGGCCGACTTTGTTGCTGTAGAACCCTTCGGCCGTCCTCGCGTCTTTGGGGCGGTTTCGGTCTTTGCGGGTGTCGCAGGCTTGGTCCTCGGTCTCCCAGCACGCTTCTTTGGCGCGTCCGACTGAGCAAGCTCGTCATCGTTGTCGCTGCCCGATTCCGCGTTTGTTGTGGGCGTGGCCTTCCTACCACGACTAGTTGTGGTAGTTGTGGATTTAGTCGTGGGTCGGCCTTTAGGTTTCGCTACCGTCGTTGTTTTCCTTTCAGAGAACATGCCAATCTCATCGTCTGTCGACTCGTCTGCATCTTCGTTCGCTGGTCTGCTTGCTGCTGCTGTTGTCCGGCCGCCTCTTTTCCTCGCTTCGGTGGCAGAGCTAGGTGCCCTGGCTTTTGTCGTTTTGGGCGCAGCTTTAGCAGATGTAGTGGTCGTCGATCCCTTAGTTCGTGTGCGCGTCGTCCGCTTGGGTGGCGACTGTGGGATGACTGCTGCGCGAGCCATTGTGTGTTGATTGATACTCGGGGTCGGTAAATACAACCGCGCGGTAGGTCGGAGGTGGGCGTTGTTGATGTCCCGCTTCTGTTATGATCTGTCGGTGGCGGTGGGGACTTAGTATTGAATTGCCGTGCTCATTGTGCGTCCACTGGCGATAAGTGAACAATCACTTGCTTTAACTCCGGAAGCTCTTCTGCAGGGTTAAAGTAAGCAGGGGGGCTGTGTGGTGGTCGAGTTGGCGTGGGTTGTTGACTAGTTAGCAGTGGAGGAGGCCGATCATCAAAGTCGCCCAAGTGGACGACGCTCCTGCCGTTTGTGGCCGCTTGCTTGTTTGGGCGATCGGGCGGTGGTTGCCCTGGTAACGCAACACGTGAGGGAAGTGGGCTGCCTCTTCCGGAGTCGAGCACGTCAATCACTACCATTTCATGGAATGCCTTGAATTTCAGAAATATATACTTCGCGTAGACTTGAAGCTACTGTGCATTGACTTTTCTGTGCGCGTCAATCCGCTACTAAATATACACCATACCATACATACACATTAAACAGTGAAAATATCCTACATAAACGCCGAAACAGTCGCAGCAGCCGCCACAGTCGCAAAAACAGCAGGCAATACAGCGTACGCAACATTATCGAACACCGTACTGGGCTCATAAGTGCCCGGATTCGAGCTATTCGTAGTGCCATCCCAGCAATACCTCTCAAAGCACCGGTCACACTGATCGGGCACCGTAGTGTTAGTCCGTTCAAAGGACCGACTCAGAACAGCACACGCAACACAAGCAGACCATTCCCCATCGCGACTATTATTCCCCATCGTGGCTACATCGTACCCATTGAGGATGATACTATCCCTCTGCTCCTCCGAGTAACTCGGATCGAACGTCGACACGTTTGAAAAAGTCACGTACGGGAAGTTGGGAAGGTAAACAACCAACGGCGCCGGTCCAGTGGTATTCGACGAGTTGCACCCGAAGAAGGTCGGTCTTGTGTTGAGTCCCTCGTTGACGAATGTATTCTGGTCGGGAATAACAGGGAAAGACGTTCCATTGCCGATGCCCGTAGTGTTTAGGCTGCGCTCGTAGGTAGCGACTAGAGCGGTGCCGTTGGGCCAGTTATACTGTGTGTCTGCCGAGGAGTCTACCGCGAAGATGACGTCCACGTGGCGCTCTGGTTGGATGAGTGGATGTAAAGGGATGTTTTGGAGGTCCTCACCGCCGTCCACGAGGTCGAGGACGGTTTCGCTTGCGGATGGCGAGGTGGAATTGGCCCATAGGTAGAAGGGGTTGGGGGTGTAGACTGCTATGTCTTGGCTGTCTTCGCCGAGATCTTCTAGAATGTTTGTGAATACGTCTTTTAGGAAGCTGGGAAGGCTGGTTGTGTTGATTTGAAGGAGGAATTGGTTGAATAGGGTGGATGAGGTTCCCATTATGAATCCGCCATTGTCGAACCCACGGACGCAGCTCTCGTTGCTTGGGAGGGATCCGGCTACAAAGCGTGAGCCCAGGTACTGGACTGGGACGAAGCCGTAGACCGTTGGGTCGAAGGTGCCGAATTCCCAGGGATTAAATTCGTAGACTGTGGCATTGCTGCTGACTAGGAGCTCGTGTGGGTAACGGCCATCTGCGACTAGTATGGGCATTGGCATTTCTGCATTTCTGAAGGAGCTGGTCAGAGCTATGGATGACCAGGTGTAGTTGATTCCTCCGGCAGTGGCGTTGACGAGCTGGTATGAAAGAGCACGGCCCCTGGTGGGTAGCATCAGTATTGCTGCTATGGGAAAGTTGAAGTAGGTTTCATACCAGTAATCAGTAATGGATGTCTCCCAACCCGCATCATCCTTCCCGGAAACTGCATCATATATATCACGGTAGTAGGTCGCCGAATCAATAATCTGGATGCTATCCCCATCGGGACCTTCAAAGATCGAGTTCTGAAATTGCCAGACATCCCCGTCATCGTAGGTCTGAAGCGACGAGATGGTGGAGAAATTGTTCAGATATATAGATCCCACTAACCACGCCCCACCACTGAGGCCAGCCAAGTACGTTGCTGATTGCAGCAACCCACCCAGCTGGCCACTGCTGGTGGAATTTTCCGTGCGGTTATCAAAAGCCTTGATTGCCCCAGCACCGTTCATCAAAGCCCGGTACCCTCCACCAGAGACAGCGATGCCGATGTTAGGCAAATCGGAGGTGTTGCTCGAGATGCCGTCGATGTATTCCACAGCGTCAAAGTCCGTAATATTGACATGGCCAAAGAATTCTCTCATAGCTGACAGTGTATTGTTCCTCCGAGTCCTCAGCCATGACGATTCGTTCGACGAGAGTGCTGTCGCACTGCGCACCGTGGGACGACTCGCAGCGCATTCGACCGTAGTTGGTGTATACCCATCTGGTGCGTTTGGTAGCGCGCGCTCTTGCATCAAGTGTTTTCCGTAGTCATGATTGAAGCTAGCATTTATGCCTATGGAACTCTACGGTTAGACCATCTCAGAAGTTGCGGGAAGTGGTGCAGTGGTGAAATTGAGACCGAGAATGACAATAACAGACCTGTGAATATGCTTGCAAAAGCAAGCAAAGCTGCTATGCACTGCATATTAGCAAGTACCACACGGCTGCCGTTTCTTAGAAGAGGCCGATGGGTTGTGATGGTGAAGAACAGCTCTCTCCGAGATTTCAAACCCGACCAAGGCTGCCGCGCAGCCAAGGTCTTGGTTGGTAGATCAAATATCAATACTCGTCAAGCACCAGAATGGTACCGAAGTCTTGGGGATGATCATAGTGACCGAAGAACCATGGATCTTCGAGGTTGTAGCGGAGATGGCATTGAATTGCAGTCCATGGTTTGGGACACTACTACCTACATGAAAAGGCTGGATTAAACCGGCAATTCCGCAGCTGAAGTGACAGTCAACGAGAATTGAAGTTGGCAAACCAAACATGGACAGTGGTTCACACAGGATTGATCTTGGGCGACACTGCTTGTTGGGCTTTCTGCTGGATTCTAAAGACCTCCCACATGGTACTCTCCATCTTGAATGAGGCGGTTCGCTTCCAGTACATTGGGTAATTACTTTGTAGCTCCTCGACTATACACAGTAAGAGACCTGCAACGGACCTAGTATGCATTCACGAAAGGACCCTGATGTCACAGCGATCAGTGGATCCGGAGCTGACGGATGGAATCCACGGAACCAAAGATCGCTCCCATCAAGTCAGCTTCGTATTGCAAGTGATTGTTGCAGTGAGCTCTGCTGTTTGCTCGTGTCCAACCTCCAGTCTAATGCAATTAACTTTGGGTGAGCAGGGTAATTATGCAACTGGAGAGTATCTACACCGGACACAACGTCAGCTTACATCGATAGATCTCTCATGTCAGCCAGATGATAGCTATACACACAAACACTGAATTACAGAAATAAACTATCTTTTAGTATCGAATTGGCTGGCTATACAACCATCACAACTGCTGATACATCACATCCGTCCGCATCGTATACTTCGTCCCCCTCAGAACCGGATCCCCACCATGAAGCAGATCCATCTGCTGAAACACCAACACCGAGCCCGTCTTCGGAAAGACACGCAAATGTCTCTCCTTCTCCTCATATCGGGGTAGAAAAGACGTCGCTCCACCCAGCAGCTCCCCCTTCACATCCAGATTCACCTCTCCCTCTCCCCGCTCAACCCTCTGCATTTCCCTCTTCAGCTCTCCAAGATCCTGCTCCCCCTGCCCACTCAAATACAACTGAATAGTATAATACGACTTCTCCTTCCCATCAGGCGTCTTATATAGCGCATCCCAATGCGGCCTAAAGTACTCTCCCCCTTCATACTTAAGGAACCTCAACCGCTCATTCAACCGAGTCATTCCATAAGCCTTATTCCGGCCCGCAAGGCCCGTCACCCGAGGTTGATTGTCAATCTTGTCAATTCCCAACTCCTTGAAGAACGGCAGTAACCGAGCCAACAGCTTATCAGCTATATCCTCGGAATCATAGATAATGCGGCCGCAATTCCGGGTATCTGTTGCGAGCGCTTGCCTGCCATTTCCGATGTTGATCATGGCGCGTTCCCAGGTAGGTGTAGCGGAAGAGTCACCGGGAGGGATGGTGCTGGACTCCGCAATGCGGATTAGTTCGGCGCATTCTTCTTCGCTGAATGCGTTGTCTATCACTGCGGCGCAGAGGTTCTTGTATTCCGGGAGTGGTGGCTGGGAGTTTTCGAAGTTGATGCGATGGCATCGGGCGTTGGGGGACGGTGGGGAGGTCAGGAATGTAGAGGGTGGTCGCTGCATGGTTGGTCTTAAGGTACAGAATGCTCTTGATATGTGATGGCTTTTCATCAGTTTCTTCTTGGTTTTATCTTCAATTCAAGCAGTAAAGAGACTTATATATAGGATGGACTTGCAGAATGAGGCTCGTGAGATGCGTCACTTATCCCGGGCCCCACTGTTGCCTGTAAGCAAGGCTGAAGGTGGGCTGATCATGGCTTAGCAGTAGGATATGCACAGCCTCGTGCTCCATAGGGAAGAATCATGACTCAAATGGACTAGTGTACTCTATCGCTAGTCTTTCAATCCATGTAGCCTTGAACTTACGACAGGGAACATAACCACACTCTCATATATCTTACTTACCCCAAGACTGCCATACAATTGAACTCTCTCATATCCATATCGTGACAAATACTAAATCTCCACGGAACTCCATACCAATGGGCGCCACCGTCTCGACTAGTTCTTCTTTAGTAGCACCTATCTCAGATCCGACGTCGGTAAATCTTTGATATCCGTTCGCGTAGTATCACTGCAGGTAGCGATTGAAAGTGGTTAATATTATCGAAACAATAACAAGAATCTATTGGCTCTGGCGTCCAAAACGACCGCCGAAGATGCAGGGATGAGATGCTATCTGTGCCTATACGAAATCCTAACAGTACAATTTACCCCTCTCCAACTAAAGCATGAAGTACTTACAATCCATCCTATCTTACCTATCTTACCATCGATGCAGATACATAGCTAAGAGCCATGAGCGATCGCTAATGATCGCCCAACAACCGCCGAAGAGGAGGTAAGCAACCGGAATTAACTGACGGAGTTATGTCTAAAACCGAGGAGTAGCCATGGCGTCTCCCTTTATAAATTCACAAGGTGGAATCTTCCCCTCAGGGTACTTAGAAAGAAAGAGTAAAGGTTACTGCCACTTTAGAATTCTGCTCTCCGAATCACCTACCAACCACGCCGTCGAGGAAATAAGCATGCCCGAGGTAGCTGGAAAAGAAGTCGGTCCCATTGGCTTTGGCCTAATGGGATTAACCTGGAGAGCGACACCACCATCCCAAGAGCAGGCATTTGATGCTATGCATACTGCAATTTAGAATGGATGTATGTACAATCCTTCTCTTTTCCCTTGCTAGTAGACGTCTCATTATGACCATGGCTGATTAATGGTCATATAGGTACCTGCTGGAACGGCGGTGAAAACTACGGCGCACTTGACTACAACAGTCTCGTCCTAGTAGAGCAATATCTGGAGAAATACCCCGAATATGCCGACAAGATAGTCCTGAACATCAAGGGCGGCGTCAACCCCGACACTCACCAGATAGATGCTTCGGCGGAGAATACGCGCCGCAGTCTAGATAACTGCATAGCGCAGCTGAAAGGTCGCAAGAAGATTGATATGTTTGAATTTGCCCGTCGAGACCCGGCTGTGCCTATGCAGGAGACGTTCGATTTGATCGAGAAAGAGTATGTTCAGACGGGCAAGATAGAGGGGATTGCTCTGTCGGAGGTGCGGGCTGAGACTATCCATGAAGCTGTCAAGTATACCAAGGTACTTGCGGTGGAGGCTGAGATTTCTTTGTATGTATGGGATTTGTTGCAGAAGCAATGGAGGGTTAATGCTGACTGGAATAGGTTCACTACTGATATCCTGGAAAACGGCGTCGCAGCGGCGTGCGCCCAATACGGGATCCCGATTATTGCCTACTCGCCGATCGGCAGAGGCATGTTGACTGGTCAGTTCAAGAAGTTCGATGATCTTCCGCAAGATTCGCTGTTGCGCTCTTTCGACTTTCCGCGATTCCAGCGGGAGAACTTCGAGAAGAACATGCAGCTGGTAGAGAAAGTGGAAGATATCGCTCAGAGGAAGGGTTGTACCCCAGCGCAGCTGTATCAACTGGACAAGAGCACTCTCTAGGCGCCCAGGGGTACCAACCATTATTCCTATTCCAGGTGCCACAACTGCAGAGCGGGTGGAGGAGAACAGTAAGCTGATCGAGATCACGGATGAAGAGATGCAGGAGATTGATGATATATTGGTCAAATTCACCCCAGCTGGTGAACGATACCCCAGGGCCATTCCGGTCAATACCTAGGGTAAATAGTATCAGAATCGTGCAGTATGAATGACACTCGTAGCTTCAGATGCTCTCATTTCGAATGATGTTCCAAGGTACCAAGTCAGTCAGTTGACGCAATATGGTAGCCATCTTTCCAGTAGAGCAAAGGACAAATCTGAGCTATCTTGTGTCCAAAAGCTATATGACGAGCCACGAGTGCTGTGTCTACCAACTGAGCACTTGTTATCTTCTGGAAATCAGCAATCCGGCTTCAACGACCATGTGACAGCACCAAATCCGGCTTTCCCCAGCAATCTTGGGCAGACTAGCATATCCCAGTTACCGTACCTGACGATCGGAGAGACGCCGACCGGTCTGGACTGACCGGGGTAAGTATTTATGCACATGGAAGATTCTAGCATGTAAGATGCATCTCATCACCTGAACAGCAGCCGTAGATTAGGGTGGGGTAGATGATATTGCGACGAATGCTAAACGGTCTTGTATGTTGCATCTGTCTCAAGTTTTGACATTAACTGCAGTCGGGACTGAGAAGATAAGTCACAGTTGCAAGGGCAGGTATTGTGCAATCGAGGCCACGTCAGCGATATGCCGGAGTTCAATCGGAATGAGAGGGGACGGAAGGGACGGAGGACGGTAGTAAGTTGGTGGCTTGGTGGAGAGAACCTTGGAAAATAAACTATTGCCGGTCCTGGGATAAGACAGCTGGGGGTAAGGTTTCCTGTCAATCAACAGTAGAGAGTGCCGTGGGGAAACAAAAGAAGGATGGTAGTGGGGATTTGGGGAAATTCTTGCTGGTCACACGCCTCACGCCCCCGCGGCGGCACTATCTATACATAGTAGACGCCTATAGATAGCAACAATTAGGCGAGAACTTTACTATAGTGTCTGCTACCGCTACGGTCACCATTACGTTCAGTTTTTTTTTTGGAATTGGCTTTTTTTTTTCTGGGTTCTGGATAGACATTATAACTGTGAACTATGGATGGTGTGCCTTCCATCTGTTTCTATCTCCCCAACAGCACTGATCATTCCGAATTTACAATCCCGATCTTGGATAGGGTCCTCCGCGTAGTCTCAGCCTGCCCATGGGCCCAAAGAAAATCATATCGATCCGGTTTTTTCTCCGGACTATACGCATTATATACTGTACACTTGTAGTTGTGAATTTCTCAGGTCGCTTTTTAGAAGCGCCCTCTATAGTATGACTCTTTGAACTTCAGTTTAATAACATTAACCATTGCTCTTCCGCAGCCAGGCATAACCTGGTGCCGATATTTTGATCACTGTGTGAAACTAGAAGATAGGTTGAGTTCTCAAATACACGGTATAGTATCAGTGATTGTGCTAGTATTAAACCGAATGTACACATGGAAGTAGGATGCTTGGATTCCGCGGGGCCTCGACACCTGGCGCGCCAGGGGCGCATCGCGCACTGACCAGCAGTTACTGTCTGGCCTATCCGTGGGAGAGTCTGGAACCTGGGGATCCCTAAGCAACCTGCCACCCTCGAGTCGATCATTGCCGCTGCCGATTGCCCGTCACTCCCGCATCTTGGTCCTTTCAACCTGTTGACCGACTAGCTCTGTCGAGCAATACGGTCTCACACCATCTTTTAATATCCATATCCTGCACGCAATACACATCTTCACATAAGCACAGTTGTAGACGCCAAAATGATCTCTGCGGATTATACTTCCGGATCCTCCGGATTCGACAGGGAAGCAGGCCGCATATCCGATGGGCGCATCTGGACCCAGTGCTTATTCAAGCCTATTCTCATGCCATTCCAGAGACAGGAGAATTGCAAAGCGCCAGCAATAGCATAGCTAATAAGATCAGATGTCAGGCAGGCTAGCATATTCTACTCGCGTGCACCGGAACGAACGTTATTGGGCACTAGTTCAAGCTTAAGCTCCAAAACATCAATCAATAGACGAAAAATAGAATGCTCACGGGACCTGATACAGCCGCCGATGAAAATGAGGGTGCCAGGGCCGAAAGGCCCCTAATTTCAGGCAGGAAAAAAAGCCACCCGGGAGTCCCAGAAAGGTAAGATGGTGACACCTCACCTCGTTACGGTCCATCTCCCCGGTATAGGGATGAGACCCTTTCATTTAACGAAGAAAAATATGATGGTCACACCGCAATCCCAAGGATCCGCTTCGGGTGGCCGATCTGATTCCTTGCTCTACTCTGGTTTAGGCTTGTCGACCACATCGTGGGAAGCAGGGACCTTGTATCTTCTACACTTGGGAATGGTGGTTAATGATTCTTCTATATTCAGAATCTCCTGAAAGTAAGGTATGGTTGTGGCTTCGATGAATTTGGGTGAATGGCCCCTGATATAGATCTATGCGCTAGCTCGTGTACACAGAATGTTTGATTGCTTACGTTCTTTACCGGGTATCGATATTTATGTGTTCACCTTACTGAAAGTGTTTGATAAGACTTGCCTCGATCCGTATCGCTAGGGTTCTAGGGATACTCATAGGCATGGGGATGGGGATGGGGATGTTGGCGACCGCGGAGTTGCGATGAGAATCCCAAAAGCATCCTCTCCACGACTGGAAAGTACAGGAATTGGCCAATAGGATTGTCTGGACCTGTGATAAGCTTGCTGTCTCAACTTAGTGCTACAGACAGAGGAAAGGGGATCACAGACTCCATGCAGAGCCACTACTGGTCCGAACGAGGTGAAATAGATAGTAAAACCCTGGGCAGAATGTCTATGCTATGCCACCGTCTCAACCAAAAAGGTGGTCCAAGCCAACACCCTATCTTGAATGTACATGATGCATACATAACATCCCTACATGCTGTACCCTGCTGGGTGCCTGATAGTAGTGTGCAGGACGAGGACTGGAGACGATTGGCATTGGATCCGGGACGATCTCCGAACGACCCGTGACCACCCCGTCGAATGTTCGACCGAATTAAATGTAGCTTCCAGAACCGCCCAGGCAGGCCCCGTGATCAGCAGGAGTGGCAGAGACAGACCAACTGTCATCCTGACGGTCATTCTTTTTCCATCCCCAGTTTTGATCGAGGGGGAGCTTCTTTCCGCCCGCCGCGCCCCCATTCGCCCCATCCCCGGATTGCCTAAAAGAGAAAGCCGAGCACTCCACGAATAGTGGCCCTTCCAGTGGAAAGCCATGGCCGGCAGTTGTCCGTTGTTCGTGTCGGTCAGGCCGTAAATTTGCCTTGGATGATGCTGGAAGAGAGATGCTTCTGGGGAACTTCTCACGATGGCCCTCAACATTATCGTTACTTCATGATGATTTAACTTCGTCATCCGCGGGCGTGCATTCCCATTGGCCATGTCACTTTGCCCGCTTCTCTTAATCGAATTCCCTTCATTACCCAGTTACTGTTGGGGAGAAACTGGAAATACTCCTGGTTTAGATGTCATACTGATTGAAGAGAGCAGTAATTGATACTGTAGTGGCTCTAGAGATGCGCATTGATCAAGGTTGTCTGCTATCAACGTCTGGTCGGGATAGTTGCCGTACAGTATGATATACAGAAGTCATTCGGTGCCAGAACTATGCCTGCAGGTCTTGCCACGATGGAAAGGACCGAATGACCTCTTGGTGGAACCTGAATTGTATTCCCTTCTATCCCCATCCGTCCACACATTCCCTGGGTCTGGACCGCATCCACCTCTCCCTCGCAGCTAATCTTTCTTGGGTGCTGGTTCCAATCTCTAGTTGCTCACATGAGCCCTCATGACCATCTTGGGCTAACATCACTCCCCCTGAGGAAGCTACCCATGGGCTCATCGCGAATATATAAGAGGTTTTCTCGATGCTCATTGATAGCTCTGCCATCAGCAATTGAGTCTTCTTCGTGCTCACCTCTGCTTTCACAGTGACTCGCGTGCTACCATTGATTAAGACTTGCCCAACTCACTATCTATCTTCCACCTGAAACCTTCTCAACTTCATCAATCTTTCCAACTCTACCTTACTCTATACTTGCTCCACAATGTCTGTTTCCTTCGACACCACTGACGTTGCCCCCGCCCCGGTCCCTGTTGTACAGGATGGCCCATGTCTCGGCTCCAAGTCCAGAATGCCAGAGTTCAGCCTGGCTGGAAAGGTTGTCTTGGTCTCCGGGGCTGCGCGTGGCCTTGGTTTGACCCAAGCTGAAGCCCTTCTGGAAGCGGGTGCCAAAGTCTACGCTCTTGACCGTCTGGATGAGCCTGTAAGTGTCCTAGAAGGAGTTTATTATTGACTCTTCTAACGCGCAATTCTTCTAGTCCCCCGAATTTGCCGTTATCCAGGAGCGCGCTCTGCAAGAGCTGGGTACTGAGCTTCACTACCGTCGCATCGATGTCCGCGACACAGAGTTGCTTAACACCGTGATTGAAACCATTGCCAACACTGAAGGCCGAATGGACGGTCTGGTGGCGGCGGCCGGAATCCAACAAGAGACCCCCGCGCTGGAGTACACAGCCAAGGATTCCAACACCATGTTTGAGGTGAACGTCACGGGAGTGTTCATGACCGCTCAGGCAGTCGCCAAGCAAATGATTCGCTTCGGAAATGGAGGCAGCATCGCCCTAATTGCGAGCATGAGTGGCACCATTGCCAATCGGGTATGTTCCCATCTTGTCACCCGTTACCAGCCCTACTGCTTTCCCCGCTTTGACTCTTCCTTCTCTTGACTTTCTGTGCGACAACTGACTCATACTCTCTCAGGGCCTCATCTGCCCCGCTTACAATGCCAGTAAGGCTGCCGTGCTCCAACTTGGCCGTAACCTCGCCTCTGAATGGGGTCAATACAACATCCGCGTCAACACCATCTCCCCTGGATACATTGTCACCGCCATGGTCGAAAAGTTGTTCGAACAGTTCCCCGAGCGCCGCGACGAGTGGCCCAAGCAGAACATGCTCGGCCGACTTTCCGCTCCTAACGAGTACCGCGGTGCAGCAGTCTTCCTCCTTAGCGACGCCAGCAGCTTCATGACTGGTAGCGACCTTCGCATGGACGGTGGTCACGCCGCATGGTGATGACATGAACAGTCATACTCATCCTCTTTTCCTTCCGATATCTTACACTGCACTCTGATTATCTGCACTGATTCACGCATGGCGTTCATTGGAAGCGAGCACTGCACTATAACTAGTTTATCATGACGTCTACCTCTCCATCAGGAGGCGAATTTGTGGTTTCTTTTTTCCCTTTATCATTTGGTGTCTGGACGGGATGATCGGGTTGATGAACAGTTACCTAGAGCTGCTACCTACCACCTGTACCTATACCTATATTATACATACCTATCATCCCTACCTACTACCTACTTACCTAGTTAATCAATTTACTTTTATTCCCGATATATCCATCCCATAATCCCTCCAGTGAAACTGAAATAATTATAAAACCCCACCACCCTCATCAAACCAAGCACCCAATAACAATCTCCTAACCCAAAACAAAGTTACAAAATAGCACCACTTAGCGCGCAGATCCCACCACCCCGGAAAATCGCACATGACCCCACAAAAAAAAGTCCTAGCCCAGTCCAACCTACCATAGGGCAGGAAGTTTGAGCAATGTAGTAAGCGTAGTCGTAAGCCTGCTACTAAGTACCTAGTAGTAATTCCAGCCTGGCATCTTGCCAAGACCTATCTATTGCCATATTCCCCACCATCGATCCGAGGTAACTAATTACTTACTACCCCACCCCAGATCCCCCGCATAGCTGCATACGTTTTAGATTCGGTTCTAAACCAGGGTTAGAGGGGTTGATGTGACGTGTGGTTGATGTGTAGATTTATTATAACTACTGGGTTTCTATATTTATTGGGTTCAAATTTTGGATTCGGATTCGTGGGAGTTTTGGTAGTTACTGGATGCAGTAAGGTTGAACTTCGCTCGCTACCTTGTTTCATTCTCCGGTGGTTCATACTATTCCTTATTCCTACTAGGTAGACTATTTGGACAGGTTATATGTATCGAGATAGTGGTGGTGGTGCCACTCTCACGCAACACGAAGCACCACTATGAACGATGGGTCTATCTATTGGTGCAGTTTCACGAAAGCAAAGTGAAATAGATGAACCCAGACTTCGCCGAGAAAGTGAAATGGATTGCCTATTTGGGGATTATACATGGTATTTATTAGCTGAGAGGACAGTCATCACCCTTTTCTGATAACTACTCATGGATGTAAGAAAGAAGTGACAGAGCCTAAGACGGATATATGTGCCGAGCGAAACCCAAATAAGCCATTTAATCATTAGTATATTAAACAGAGATAAAATCAAAACGCGGAAATAAGTCTCGTGATCCATCCGACTTAATTACTAACCATTCGAAGTTAGATATGAACGAAGGGAAGGTAAAACTTATTGATGCCTAACATATCGCCTAAGCGGCAGAGGCCTAGTCTTTCGATCCAGATGCAAGGGGATCGATTCGTGAACATTGTCTAGACCCTTATTCGATACTGCGGTATTAGTGTTTATGGGCCTTGATTCACGTGGTGGTTAGGCCTTGCAGGTGGTCTATTTTTATTCGTTGTTGGGAATATCACCTGTCTTGTCTTGTGTCTTAGGTGAGGCTACTACTAGTATAGTAGTAGTATATAGTTGGATGGTGTTCAACTTCGGTTGGGATCGGATCTTCTCACTCAGCGTGGCATGTATCTACCATATCCCCAATACACGGACAAATCCGGGCTTCCCCCTTTGTCACCATCTCATTGGTATATACTCCTTCCCCGGATGATGTGGTCTCGGTTCGTACTAGTCACTTGATATTTCCCCGGATCGTCAGCATGACCCTATACTAGAAAACTACTAGTAGTAGTAGCTAAGTAAGTATTTAGTCCACACAAGTATAAGTCAAGTAATTGGCTCTCTTGCCTCCGGTCTACCTGCCTACATAGATCCTACTTCCAACAGCCTGACCTACACATTCCATAGTAGCATAGATATCAACCAAAGAACCACTGACAACGCATCACCACCGCAGCGTGCATGACATTGTCCATCTTCTGCGTGCAGTATACGCCCCCGTATCTCTCCGACATTGGTATCCAGTTATATCATGTTCCTATATGGAAGGCCCACACTTTGCAATCGGCGATAGCATCGACGATGGGGTTTCTTGTGACCATTTCCATTCATTTGATGTGGCGGATATTGATTGATGATTGCTGAAAAGGGAAGTGAGAGGAAGAGAGACCGGAATCTCCTGTTTCGGAATGGTCTATGATAGTTTCGTCTCATGGAGGTTGTTTGATGGGAAGTCGAATCGTCATCTGGGGGTGTAGGTTTCATGGTTGGGATGGGAGTGGTACGGAGGACAATGGGCCTTGTGCTTGTAGTAGTAGTTTTAGGAGGTGGTGAGAGGTGGCTATTATAGCTTAAGTTTGAGGGGTATATAACAACAATCCTCGATGGTCTAACGGTCATGATTTCCGCTTGTCAATCCTTGACAGGAACAAGCGCGGGAGACCTGGGTTCGACTCCCAGTCGGGGAGATATTTTTGGTTTTTGTTGTCTTTTTGGGTTCTTGGGTTTGAATTGATGTTTTTGCTAATTGTTTTACTTTATTCTGTTTTTTATTATGTGTGCTTGTTGTTTTGTTGTTCTGGAGGCTGGAGGTGAGATCGTGACAATGTCAAGATTTATATCGAGCCTTTTTACCGGTGGCATCTCTATATATATAACGGCCGGAGTCTACAACATCAGACACACGATCTACAAATGTCATTTGAAACAAACACTTAAAAACCTGCAGCCTTATAGCACACGCTGATAGAAAGCCAGATGCTATCAAATGTTCAATTCTCGCTAACGTTGCCATGAGGTTGCTCGAAACAATGTGCGACAATGATGGATAACCGAGCAAAGGAAGTATAACACAATCATCACCGCGAAAACATAATTTGAAATCAAGTGAATGTCCAATAACTGTTTCCGTAGCAGAGATTACAGCTATAACTCTCTATAGTAGAAATCTGCAGCCATCGGTGTCGATGCTATTCCAGACAATCTTCCACGTTTGTATATCTGCTATACTTAACCCCGATGCTCATTCTGAGTAAAGGTATGGCAGAAGTCCAAAGACAAATAGCATTCTATGAGACCAGATTTGGACATAATCACAAAGGATGTGATGAACTCAAGAAGACTCCGACTCCACCTTTGGTGTCAATCCAATTGATCAGGTCTATCATGGACCGACTGTGCCTTGAAAGAGAACCAAGTCCCAGTTTACCTGAAGATTTCACACGCCCACAGAATCGCATGAGCTCTGCTATAATGTAGCAACATAACAACAACATGCAGTCCATATAGTTGAATCCTACGCATCCCACTCATCCACCCCAAACAAGCCATCTACAACAACTCCTCACCACTCCAAACCATCCCATAATAATACAATGCCATTCCATAACCATGCATACATACATCCATTCGCTCCTCCTTATCGTACACTCATTCCCCCCCGAAATTCCAACCAATCAGCCAATATCCCCAACCACGCCCCTCTCCCCCAATCTCCCCACAACACCACTCTTCAACCTCAACAGCCTCTCAATCTCCTCCGCCGACAATCCCTGCCTATCCCTCATCGACAAGACCTGCCGAATGGTAAACGCATCAACAAACTCCCTGCCCTGGAACCCCGATTTTCCCATCGCCTCGAACTCCTGCTCCGCGGCCTTGGTGAGGCGCTGCCGCGCCGAGAAAACCAGTAACGCCGGGTTAGATGCGGGCGGGAAGACGGTAGGCGCGGGTTGTTGGCGCGCAAAGGTGCTAGTGTGGGAGAAGGTCGGGTTAGGAGTCACGGGGCCGATGGTGCGAAGCTGTGCGGCGAAGTCAGGGTCGCGGCCGTCGAGGTCGATTGCTTTGTAGAGATATTGTTAGATTGGATTTTGGGGGATGGGTTGGATGTACGTACCTGATGAGCGCTCGAGAGAGGGAGGTTCTTTGGAATGGTATGTTGGCCCTGTGGGGGGTGCTCGCGACGGTTGTCGCGGTGGTTGTGGTTGTGGCTGTTGTCGTTGCTGTCTTGTGGGTTTAGATGCTGGTGGTGGTTGTGCTGGGGAGGAGGTCGGAGGAGAAACGGGTTGTTTTGGGTATTGGCGCCGCGAGACAGCCTGGGCGGCGGATCTCGCGGGCTTGGAGGATGAGGCGCCCATGGGTTGGCGGTTCTGGAGGATTTGATATTGCGGATCTGGGGGTGGAGCTGGGGTTTAGCACTGATGTTCTGGAAGCATAATAATTGCGGTGGTGGTGATGATCGGTTTTACTGGGATTCAATTGCCTTCTGCAGAGGATCGGGCGGACTAGCCTGTTTGGGATGATGGACTAGCCGCGCGGGTGACGTCAGCCATTACGAATTATTTACTTGTTCTTTTGATATTGTTGCTGCTGTTCTTATTGTGGTTTGGGAGGTGGGATACCCCTGATGGTCTAGGTAGTATTTCCTCAGAGACGTGTTATGATAAGTATCGTATACTAAATGCTAGTCCTATTCATGTCTGTTTTGCTACACTCATACAGTAAGGCTTGTCTGCACAAGCCTGGTTCCCTACAGGAACACTACTTCAATGATACTCACTCAGGCAGCAGTAGTCCAGTACTGTGTTTACCTGAGTCCGGCAAGCCGTCTGCCCTGGACTTCACCCAGAGCGCGGCTACCGCTGACGAATGCGACGGATCCGGCCACTGCGACGGCAGGGAGGATCTGGAAGAGAGTCCAAGAACTATAGTACAGGAAGAAGATGCCCTCGATGGAGAGGAGGGAGCCAAGGAACACAATGTGAGGGATAGGAGCCGACTTCAAGGCAGTAGGCAGGTGGTTGACGTTGACGCCGAGGAAGAGCCACTGGAGCAGTGTCAGAGAGGTATTGAAAAGAAAGTATAGAGTAGAACTTACCACACCACCCAAAACAGGCAGAGTAGCGAGCACCATGGCGACAAAAGCCAGCGTGATCACGATGGGAGGGCTCTGAGGGTCGCTCTTGAAGATGTGGTGGATCTCAGGAAGCTTTCCATACCGCGAAACCTCGACGGTCGGGACGGGCTCATCGGCATTACGGGTCACATCCAGCTGGAAGGCAGCAGCATTGTATGCGGTCGACTCGCCGAAGGATCCGATCAGGAATCGGGCCTCAAGAGGCTCGGAGGCGGAAAGGAATTGGATGGGAAGGTCTTTCTGGGTCTGAAGTATACATCAGCTGTGCCCTAGCTGGTTCTGCGTGTAGTGCAGGCCACCTACCAGGTCAAGCCTCGACTTGCCATTGTCCTTGACATTGAAAGGGTATGAAATGTCCAATCCGGTCTCAGGATCCTGGAGGAGGAGGTACACTTGGTGTGCGTGCTTTCCGGTGCGTCCTTCTTGAGCTGTCAAGGTAACTTTCAAGGTATCGGCGACTCCAAGGGCGATGGGCTTGGTAAGAGCTTTGTTATCGGGGATACTGTCAATTGAGAGATACCATCAGTTCAAAAGTTCCAGAAGAGCAAGATAACAACATAGAAAATAAGAAACGTACACCTCCTTTACGCCCGCACCGACACCAGCGCCTTTGGTGTTTACTGACACGGTGGCATCAGTAAATCCCCATGCGGAGGCAGCCGCGGTCGGGATAGCAGCAGAAGCCAGCAAGGAGAGCTGGAGAACGGAGTGCCACAGCTGCATGATGAGCGAGAGACCAAAACCACAGCGACCAGGCAGTGTAATGAACGGAAAAGAAGAAAGCGACAAGGCCAAACACCGGGGATATAGCGAGAGGAATGGGAAGCTGGAGCGACGACACGAACAGGCCGAAGCGGAAGATGCGCTAAGATAAGCGCCCGCGGCTTTGGGGCAAGCGGCGGTCCAGTGACCGCCCGCCGCCCGTGCAAGCCCTAATTTCCCGGCATCTCGATGGAGTTCGGGCTGCCAAACATTTCTTCTTCGCTCCCTCGTCCGGACTATCGGGTTTGTCTGCCACTGTTGCGATCCCGGAGATCCTCGAACGGCTCAATAGTCGCTCCTTTGCATTTGCGCCATGTCTTTTATGCCTCTCCTCTAGCCCCGGGAGCCCCCCTGCGCTTGCAGTTTGCCTTGACGTTCCGACTCCTCGCCTCCGCTTCACCGACGGGCCACCCTGGTCTCCGATCACGACAAGTTGGATCTGGGCGGTTGTGGTTACAATTACAACGAGTATAGCTGGATATTGGTACGTGGAGAAGATAGTTGGACTGCTTCGTGCCCCGTTGGTGGTTCATGCCAGGTGTTCTGGGTTTCCAGGAGGTGCCGCTCCTGCTTGCCTCCGTTTTCCGAATCGTCCATCGGCCCTCATTCCATTCACTGACTCTCACCTCGTCTCGCAGGCCCGACAAGCCCCAAATCCCCGTCGCATAACCCTTCCGATCGAATACCTTCCTTTCGACAGGAATAGACTCTGTAGTTCGCCTGCCATTCTGCCCGTTACCTCCGAAGTATCAGTGGTTGTATAATACAGGACTCGGCCGGGACAAGCCGTATTTCGAGGTTGCTGAAGGGATTGAAGTGATTGAGAAACAGTGAACAAGTAAGCCGAACAAAGACCTGAATCCCGTTTGGGGACTTGGGGATTCACCTGGATGAGGCTATTCACTGCGATGGAAGCTAATAACACTGAAGTGGTTGGTAGGGCTTCTGTTGCGAGGGAACTTGGGTCCCCCGCTGCTCTCTCCCTCGACTTGACTCCAGTAAGTCTTCTGCATCTTTCTGCCTCGCGTCTCTTTCTTCGATTTCTAACCAGATCTCTAGAGAGAAACACGTCGAAGTTCGTCTCGTGCGTCACGTAAAACAACTCGTGAACCAGAAGCTCTCCCTTCGAACTTATCTCATTCTTCTATTTCATTACCCCCAACACCTGTCACAACGTCATTCGAAGAACAGCTTTCTTCTTCCAAACGTCGCAAGACGCATCGTTCTGCCACTGTGGACGAGAAAATAGGTTTGAATCAAGAATCTGCCCAAACCCCGAAACAACAAGGTTCTGGTGGTCCCTCGCAGATATCCAACAGCGTCTCTAAGAAAAGAGGACGCGGCAGGAAATCGGCCTTAGCCAACGGTGAGACCGTGCAACCTGCAACTCCTGCTTCCAATCCCAAGCAACAGTCACAGTCGACGTTGCATAACTTTCTGTCAAGAACACTCAAAGATCGACGCAAGTCTCTTGTTACTCAAAACCCGTCAACAAACCCCACCATGTCTACTTCTAACGTCTCCTCTCCCGCCATGAACTCTTCCGCTTCCAACAGCCGCAAGACGCGTAAGTCTATGCCAGCAAAGCTGAACGGCTTCGAGAACAGCGAGAAGACCTCTTCCGTGGACTCTACCTCTTCTCTCACTTCTACTCCCAACGCTCAGAGCGGCAAAGCCGATAAAGCTCCCGCTAATTCTGCTGCGTCTGCCACCACTGCTGAAGCTGCTGAAGCCCAGGAGGCTAGCACCAAGCTTGCAACACCTGCTACGCAGCCTCGCTCTACTCCTCGTACTACGACTGCCAGATCTCGTCGTGCCGAACGCAAGTCCAGAGCAATGGCTGCTCAGAATTCCAAATCAGCGCAGTCTACTCCCGTCTCTGCAGTGAATTCAAGCAGTCACAAGCCTGTCAATTCACTGGTTGCTACTCGAACCAGTTCGCGACCCCAGCGATCTACCCGAAAGTCTGCAATCAATGCCGCCAGCCTGGCCGTGGACGACGCGTCTCTTGAAACACCCTCTGTCCCAAAGACACCCTTTGGCCGCGAGGTTGCTGACAGCATTGAAAGTACCCCAGCTCTTGACAGCAAGGCTGAATTCGACACCATGTCTGGATACGACTTGGATACCCCCGGAATCGAACGTAGTACTCCGTACGGCGAAAGTTTTCCTTTTGAATACCATGCTGATATGTATGGAAACAAATTTGGTCTTGATGGCTCCAATGAGGGCCCAGGATCCCCAACTGCCAGCTACTCAACCACTACGTCAGCTGCGCGCACGTCTGGAAGAACCAGAAAGCCTACCATCAAGGCTATGGAGTCTTTGGAATCTGAACGGCGCTTCCGCAGAAACCGTGCACCGTCATCGAAGCCAGAGTCTGCTCTCAAGGAAGTAAAGGGCAAGGCAGCAGTCAAGAAGACGCGTGCCAACAAACAGGCCAATGCGAAAACAGCTGGTATTGCTCAGGCGTCGAAGGCAGGTGTTGATGGAAAATGGGCAGTTTTAGCAAACCGCCTTCTTGACCTGGCCGCGGCAGCTGTTGCTCCAGAATTTGAGCAGTCATCGGAAGCCGAGGGCTGGGTCGAAGAGTTACGCAAGGAGTACATGGAGAAGCAGGAGAAGAAGACCGAAACTCCAGCGGTGCAGTCTGAGGCGGAGCCCGTGATTGAGGCCGCATCCGAAGCGCAGCCCCAGGCAGAGATCGGCGTTGAGGGAATAAGTAAGCCAATCTCTACGTCCGAGACGCACCGGTGGACTGACGAGGATGGGTTCATTTTTACAGGCCAAAAAAATAAATTTGGCGAAGAGCTTGTCGTTGTAGGCGAAGGCTATTCTTGGTTCCGCCCTAACAACACCTACGGAGACAAATTGCTCCCCCAGCCTCCAATTCGCCTGAAGTCCCATGAACAGTTCGAGAAGGACCGCATCTTTGGATATCCCCCACGCATGGGAGAGCGCAACCTGCCCCAAGATAACAAGATGCCTTTCTTCTTCGAAAACGTGGACGAGGTCAAGGCGACCATCAAGGCTCGGGAGGAGGCCCGCAAGAGAGGAATTGCCGTTGATCGAATGATGCCGGCTGCCTACATCCAAACCTTGATCGCTCAGCACGATGAAACCGCCCCGAAAGACGGTCCAGGTGAAGTGAAAGAGGCCAAAGAGACCAAGGAGCCGACTCGCAAACGGCGCCGCGGCGGCGAAGCCTCAGAAACCACTCAAGTGCCCAAGCGACGCCGTAGGGAGCCAGAGCCGGAACCAACTCCACCAGCTGAGCCGCCCAAGACGCTGCGCATCAAGCTGACCTTGAAGGGAGGAGCGGGTGCAGCGACCAGAAAGCGATCCCATTCTGAGATGGAAGATCAGCCCGCCGAGATGAAGCCTGCCGAAACGAAGCCTGCTGAGAGGAAGAGTCAGCAGGAGCGATCTAGCCCTTCCAAAATCCTGAAGCTCGGTCTGCGTCGCAATTACACTCAAGAGATGATCAGACGCACGACTCCAGAAGATCTTGCGATGGGTCCCCCCGAACCACCCAAAGACATCTATGAGGCTTTTAATGTAGCTCCCCCTCCTGGACCGCCACCCCGAAACTTCAACACAGCTCCTGGGGGACGTCCCCGTCGCCGTGCTGCGGCTGCCCTGATTGCAGAATTTCAGAATCACGCCGAGGAGAGGGCTCGTCGCGCCAACGCACGCAAACGGAACGTTCCATCGGACAAACCTGACGATCCTAATACTAAACCCAACGGCCAGCCGAATGGCCAACCTAACTGAGATAATTCTCAATCGTCAGGCTTCACTCGTCCATCGAAAACATCGCATGTTCGCGGTCTGCGAGGCACCTCAACTCGCATACCAACCCGCAGACCGTGAACAGACTGGTCATTGGATAATTTAAGGCTCTCATGAAGTGTGGTTGTTTCTCTCGTTTCTCAATGGCCAGTCATTTATCTAACTTATATGATACATCGCATGTTGGCGGTCTGCGTGGCATCTCAACTCGAATATCAGCCCGCAGACCGCCAACAGACGGGTCATTGAGTAGTTCAAGGCTTTCTTGAAGTTAAAGTGGTTGTTTCTCTCGTTTCTCGATGGCCAGTCACTCGTCTAACTAAGAAAATACATCGCATGTTCGCGGTCTGCGAGGCATCTCAATTCGCATATCAGCCCGCAGACCGCGAACAGACTGGCCATTGACTGATTGAAAGGCTTTTGGTGAAGTTAAAGTGGTTGTTTTTCTCGTCTCTCGATCAATGTTCGCAGTCTGCGTGGCATCTCAACACGAACCTCAACCCGCAGACCGCGAATAGACTGGCCATTGAGTGATTTAAGGCTTTGATGAAGTTGAAGTGGTTGTTTTCTCGGTTCTCGATGGTCAGTCTACACTCGTCTATATACATCGCATGTTCGCGGTCTGCGTGGCATCTCAACTCGAATATCAGCCCGCACGACCACATGTTGACCGTTGAGTGATTCAAAGCTTGATGAAGTTAAAGTGATTGTTCGTCTCGATTTTCTTGTCTTCGAATCTGCGAGACATATGTCTCATTTCCACATCAGCCCGCAGATTCGTTTTCGATTTACCAGTGATTGTGGCTTTACGTTTGATGAAGATAAAGTGGCTGTCCAACTTTCCATATTTCTCAATCGGTTCAGGTCTGCGTGGCATCGAACCTGGCATATCAACCCGCACACCCGAACCGATTGACCATGGAGTGTGTTTTGATGCTTGATGAAGTCACAGTGGTTCAAAAATCTCACATCTCTCACTCTGTTCGGGTCTGCGTGGCATCTCAACTTGCATCTCAACCCGCAGACCCGACCGTTGAATGCGGTTCGATGCTTGATGAAGTTACAGTGGCTGATCACATCTCTCAATTCTCTTACCTTGTCACCGGATCTGCGAGGCAACTCATATCTCTCTCAACCCGCAGATCCATTCCCGACTGATCATGCTTCTTTCCCATGGTCAGCTTTTCTGTCTCTTTTTTTTCTTTCCCTCTCACTCTCAGTACTACGGAGTTAAGGGAATGATTTCGAGCCATTCGTGCATAGCGTTCAATTTCAAAGGCAGGCGATGAAGCTATTGGCGTTCATTTAGACTTATGCTTTGCTTACTTGCTTATTGCTTTCTTATTTGGTGGTCATTCGAGATCTAGAATGGACCTGGACTGGTTGTATTATCTTGTTGTTCTCTTCTCCTTTTACTTCTATTCTGTACTGTAGGATGAGTTTTAATTCTTCGAACTTTGAAATTGGGTGGAAAGCTACGGCAAATAGCACAGTGGGTTAATTTAAATACTACAATTGAAACGAGTACATACTTATCAGCAGATTCGATATAGCTGTAGTAGACCAACATAAAATAGAATGGGTAGATGTGTGATGCCTCAGGCACAAAGATAATAATCCGAACCTCAAACCACCTGACTTTTCCGCCTCCATCCATTCGTCCATCCATCCATTCATCCCATCAATCATTCATATCCAATTCTACTTCATTCCCAATAATCACCCATTCAACATCACTCATCCACTTACTCAACACGCAAATCCAAATAAAAACCCCCGAGTGAACCAAACAAAGGAAAGAAAAAAGAAAGAAAGAAAGAAAATGCAACCCCCCAAACCAAGAGTGATCATGGACCCTCACCACCGCCAACCACTACCACCCCGTGGACAACGTCCAGCGGGAGCAGCAGGTATCAAAGATATCCGCCAAACGAAAGAATATAAACTTGCTGCGAGACGGTGAGCCACTAATCTCATCATCCACTTCTTTCCCTTCCCTTCCCTTTTCTTATAAGTAAAGTAATTAACTAACGTGGGATGGGAATGGGTTCATAGATGGATATCAGTAATGGTGGGATTACCCATCTTGATGTATACGTCTTGGAGTTTGTATGAGAGGAGTATGTATACCCTTTCTTCTTTTTTTTTCTTCTTAGTTATTTTTGATTGTTTTCTGTGTGCATGCTGACTATTTGGGTGTGTGTAGCGTATGGGGATAAGAGGCCGAAGAGGTTGGTGGAGAGGTCGTCTACTTCTTCTACTACTACTACTATTACTCCTTCGGGGGTGAGTTCTGGGAAGGGGGAGGGGGAGGGGGAGGGGGAGAAGTAAGTAGGGATTTGATTATAGGATGGGTGGACTTGAGGGTAGGGATGGGTGTATTGTATTGTATTTATATGAGGTATGATGAATTGCGGTTGTTATTGCTTTGGGGAGGAGTGTATAATATTATTTGTGCGTTTGTTCGTTTGTACGCTGTGCGTTGAGTGTGATTGTTTAAAGGGTGATGATTGGTTGTGGGACGAGGTATAGAGGGATATTCAGATTTTTACCGAGGTAGTTATCATCGATAGTTTCAATATGTACATCTTCGTAAACACATACATGAAGTAATGATATGTACTCCGATTGATACATACCATCCATCAAGGTAGTTCAGCTAAGCAAAGCACTCCGCCCAATCACCCCCAGATCTAGCAAAGCTCAACCCCCTCACAAAGCTATCCCGGGTACATCTCCCCAAAGCATCAACCGGACAACCATGCAGCGGGACAACGCGATCATTAACCAAAACACGGACCAGCGGCTCCTGCTCGGCCTGACACTGCATCATCTCAACGTACAGACGCGAAGCAAACGGAACCGTCCAAGCAGACGAAAATCCATCTGTCTGGGTGATATTCTCCACGGTCGTGGTAGACAGCGGCTTAGTGCCGTTGTACAGACCCAAAGCAAAGAGAATAGAGATGATGCCGTTATCATGGGAAAAGTCCGCATAGAGAGTAGAGTTGAGCGGAAAAGTAGCCGGGTTCGAGTCCAAAGTGTGGTTGGAGCTGGTGTCATCGTGGACAGGCGAGTGGGTGAGACGGGCGATGAGCTCGTTAGCGTAGCCGACGCCCTGGGTCGGGCCGAGCGGGTTACCCGCGCCATGGCCGTAGTACTTTTTCAGGGACTGGAGGTAGTCGTAGTTGATCCATTCGTCATGAGTGAACAGGTCACAGAAGGGGGACAGCTTGGTGTCGACGGTGCTGGTGGAGATGGTGTCGAAGGAGCACATGTCCATGAGGTAGGTCACCTCTGTGTCTGTGAGAGTCACGCCAGACAGGTCGTTCTCCAGACGTTGACGAATGGAGGGGACGAACGTGGCGGTGAAATTGGCTTCGACGGCATCGGCCAATTCGCTGTCTTCAAAGACAGTGCAGGTGCCTGGGTCGAGAGTGTTGTTGGATGAGCTGGCCTCGGAAATGACCACGTCGATCTTGGGCGACGATTGGCCGGGCTGGGCACGAGGATCCTTCAGCTTGGTGCTCTGGAAGCCCTCGATGAATTTCTTGCCGGAGGCGATCACGCGGCTGGAGCCAGAGGATCGGATGAAAGGAATGATGTTTCTTGTGAGCGATTCGTATCGCTGGTAGAACTTGATGCCGGAGTTGACTAGCTCCTGTTCTCCGAAAGGAGTCAGGTCATCTGCACCCAGGCTGTAGTTGTATGTCTTCAGGAAGGCATATTTTCCATCAAAGGTGGTCGCATTCTGCTGGATCTCCTCAATGAGAGCGGAGTATTTCTTGCCCTTGGAGTCGGTCGGATACCGCGCTCCATGGCGGGAGAGGACCTGAGCGAAAGTGACTCGGCATCCGGCGGGCACATCAGGGGAGATGGCCGATTCGTTTGCCAGAGAGAAGAACGGCGCGTATTGACCCCAAAGATGCGAAGTCTCGGAGAAGCATTGATACCCCTGATCGACCGTATCGCAAGTGGATTGATTTCTCGAGGCGGGGACTGCCAGTCCGGAGGTGACTCTGCACAGATAGTCAGCGATCAGTAGTCCCACACAGTCCGAGCTTCAGGGGCCCTCGGCAGAGAGGGTCCTTATTAGACTTTGATAGTGGTGCTTAGCATACCCAGACAGGAGATACAGAGGAAGTAGAACAGCAGAGACGCCCATGATGCCTATGAGAAGAAATTTCTTGCACAGCAGCGAGTGGCAGCTACGGCCATCGCGCCGGACCGGACGGTCCTCATATAACCCCTTCATCCCACCGGCATGGTGTGTGATACTCTACCAGTTCAGGTTAGAAGCTCACAAAGGTGGCCCACGTGCAATGGTGGGATGGATCTTCAGCGGACGAGGCCGAATAGGACGGGAAGTCGACAGGGGACGGAGATATCTAGTGGGAGAAGTGGAGGAGCTTTCTCGAGAGAAAGGCAGCAGATGGTGTTAGTTCCATCTTCATTTATTGCATTCAATTTGATCGTTGATCCAGCATTGCCGTGGGACGTCGTGATTGGCTGAACCAGAGCACGTGGACGGCGGAAGTTCCCCGTTGGGAAAAGGTGCCTGGATGCCCTAGGCCGCCATCATTTCTCTTAGCAAAGATCTACATGAATGCTTCCACGGCTGAAGATTCTCGGATGCATGTGTCATCAAGTTGTTCCTGTTTATGCTATACAATCTATTATGCTGTGCCGAAAGCCCGAAAGGACGTGGGGAAATCATAAGAACAGAACGCCGAATGATGAACATCGCCCTCGCTCATTAAAAGTCAGATAATGGTAGTGTCTATAGCCCAATATGAGAAGAAGAAGAAGAAGAAGAAGAAAATTATTCAAAGCAATTTATTTGCTGACAGTGCTGCATGCAGCAAGGAGTATCTTCAAAAGTCCACAGTGCAGGCCGTTTAACTCATAGCAAAGCGAAGCAGAGAAACCCAACACCACCCAACACTTAACCAACAATGGAAATTAACAGGAGAGACATAACTGAGTAAATGTGTACGATAAATGTATAAGATAGACAAGTTGCATGATAATACCCGATCATGAAAAGACAAACAAGAGGTAACGACAAAGCCACCTTTCAAAATACCACCCGTCCATACACCTATTTCATATGCTGATCACACGAATCGTGCGCAGAGAGCTTTTCCCAATGCTTAAGATGACTTAGCCTCCGGAGGATATGGAAAGAAAACAAGCCTTTTAGGAACTTTTATGGCTCTCAGTCTCCGATGCGCGAGGGCACGCGGAGGTCGATTACATGACAAAAAAGGGAAAATGAGAAATGAAGATATCTCGAGAATGCGTGTCCCGCTGGCATTAGTAGCCCTCCCTGCGAGCCGCCAGAAGTATCGTAGAGTAATCTGATACTCGAGATGTCAAAGCCAGATTAGGCGTCCGATGTTCAAGGTTGCTTTTCATCTCTTCAAGAGCTTCGCGCCCATTGTCCCGGAAACTGGGGCAATGATCTTGCTTGCTGGTCGTCGGGCAGCATACCTCGCTCAACGTGTGCTGCCGGATACGAAGTAGGAGTGGCCGACCACGTCACGGGCGGCCTGGTTGACGAACCGGCCATCAGGTGAGATGGCGCTGGGGCCAGCTTCCCACTTCCAGAAGTGTTCTCGACCATCTTTCTGGCCTCCGAGGCATGCCATGTGGCCTCGCGCTCAGAGGCGGTGGACTCGAAAGGCGGTCGTAGGGTAAGCGGGGATGCTGGCCTGGCCGGGAGCTGACCTGTAGGCACCAAGCGGGAGACGTGTTCACGGAAGAAATCCCTCTCAGAGCGATAGAAATCCCGTTCCTGCATCAGAGATCGGATTTGATCGTCCCGCCTCTTCAACTCTTCAGTCTTCTTCTGGATCTCCTCCAGCTGCCCAGCAATCTTCTGCTCCAGCTGCATCTCGTTTCTCTTCCGATTCCGGAACCGCCTCGATGCATCACTGTTCGCCTTTCGTTTCTCTGCTTGGCTAGAAGACCCGGATTTCAGATCTAGTATGCAAGGAATCATGCCAGGGTAAGGGGGATTCTCTGGTTGGGCTCCCGTAGTAGCCGCTTCTTCCCCTGTGGACCTTGGTCCTGCCATGACTGAAGGCAAGCGAGCGGCGGGCTCACTGGATCCGTACGCGGATGCATTGAGGAACGAGGGTGTAGTTTGCTGCATTGGCGCAGCAGACACTGCTGGAGATGACCGCCCGAGCTGACTGTAAGCAGAAACAGGGGTTGTAGGGCTTGTTTCCTGGGAGCTTGGGGCAGGCGTAGGGTTGGCGCTTGTCCGACGGCTGTGGAAAGTTGGAGTCGAATGCATGGAGATTGGAGCCGGTGCAGGATGCGTAGATGTCGAAACTGACTGCCCAGGATATGGATCAGCGGATAGGGGAGAGCCAGGAGCTGCTGAATAAGAGGCTAGACGAGATGGGTGAGCCAGAGGAGACTGTGAAACACCCAGTCTCTGGGCGTAACCGCCTCCCGTTGAAACAAACCGCGCAGAAGGAGAAGCTGGGGCGATGGCCTGATGATGCTTCATGGCGGGGGACGCAGAGAGACGTTTCGCTGGGTGAACGGAGGGGGAGGGAAGATGGACTGATGGGGAGGAGGGCAGTCGGGCATGGGATGGTGACGATGAAGTAGTCGGCACCTGGGACCCTAATGGTTCGCGACCGGGTTCTGCTGCAACGACTGCTGCATTTGACGGTGGGTTCAAGATCGACTCAACGCCGATGGAACGAAGCTGAGTAGATTTCACGGAAGGTTCCACAGGAGCTGATGGTTGCCAGGAAAGAGGCCGGGGACGCACAGGGTCCGGTCCATCGGAAGATGCAGAGTCATCGTCTGAGCGAGGCCGCTTTCTACCAAACGTACTGTGATCCTCGGCCGGATGTGCATCGCCTGGGGAAGGGCCAGTCAAGGTGGACGACATATGCTCCGATTCTCTTTCGATAGATCGATGGAGCGACCTAGGGCATTGCTGGGCCCCCCCTCTCTCCAGATGAGCTGGAGACTCGTGAAGAGCTGCCTGAGAGAGGGAGCCGGCGGGTTGGGCAAGATGGTAGCCTGACAGCGAATGATATTGTTGCGAGGAATGAACCGGGTGGGAGTATGGAAGACTCGCCAACACACTGATCCCGAGGGTAGCCACGGTGAAAGGAAAATCACGGAACCACAAGAGATAAAAATAAAGGGAAAAAAAAAAGGAGGACCAGGTGGGAGAAACCCGGTTGCTTCAAGGGAAGAAGTGAAACCTCGATATCATACACCCGGTGGTGCTGCTTGTTCCCGACTAGGAGGGTATTGTTGGTTGCAGAAAAGACAGAGGAAGAAAGAAGTGAGTACTACACGATAGTGACCAGCAGTATACCGGATGTAGTAGTCGTAGGTAGTATGGCAGATTAACAAACGTGCAGATCGCACCAACAAGAAGTTAGATGGATGTTATCTTTAGATGGAGGTGAAGGGCAGCAGAGGATGAAAGAAATACAAATTATCTATAACGATAAACGAATAAATACGGAGAATGGGAGGGCTAAGAGGAAAAGAAGAGGAGGAAGATGGATAGAATGGAGGGCCAGCAGGGACAGGGAGGTGACAGTTGGAAGAACGGACAAGAAAGAAGTCAAGCCAGACTGTCCAGGAACGATGATGATTTATGATGAGGATTAGTTATTCTGATTATTTTCTCTAGGCATGGTTTATTATTATTATTGCTCGCGGACGGCTTTCCCGTAGGAGCTGAGACGATCGTAAAGTAACCTCGAACCGTTGTTGACAGCATCATTCGGCGGTGTGAAACGAAACGACAGTGAAAATAAAATAAAATGAAGATGGGGATTAATCGAAAATCAGAATAATAATAATAGAAAATAAAAAAATCAGAATAAGAAAAATAAAATAAAAATAAGAAAAGAAGAAAAAAATAAAATAAAATCCTAATCGATCAAAAGGAAAAAAAAAAGAAAACTGATTGCTGGGATGAGATGGGCGGGGGCGACAAAAAACAAGAGTGGGTGGGGACCCCATGAGTTGAACCCAGAGACGTGGGAAGAGGAGACAACTAAGACAAGGACCCGAAGCCGACTTGCATTGGGCGGATCGCGCATGTCACAACAGTGAGATAATGAAAAAGAAGAAGAAGAAAAAAACAAAAATTTAAGAAAAATCTCAAAAAGGAAGACTAGTTACCAACTTCGAGTGAGAGGAACAAGAAACAAGAGAGTACACAGCACGACCGGCATGCTTAGGGGGGAAGAAGAAAGCAAGCAAGCAAGCAAGATGGCAAAGTGTATAAACTAAAGTAGGAAAAGAGAGTTTCGAGGTCAACTTCCAGTGGCAGGTGTATCCATACCGACAAGGGTGTGTGTGCCTTCTTACATACATACATACATACAGCTTACATACATGAATACATACCGAGTACCTCGCCATAACCTCCTTCCGGTCAGAGGTACTTACATTCGACATACATACATCTCAGTCATACATACGTGGAGACTCTTGTTTCCCTCCCCTTCCGCCCCCCGACAGCCTGGCTTAACCCAGGCCTGGTTGGCAGAGAAGGGCCTACTACCTATCCTGCAGCCCATTCTCATGATCGTAATAAGAATTATATTATCCTTATTATTATTAATATTTCGACTGTATTATTATTGATCTATCGCGCCCACCATCGAAGCACCTAATCTACTTGCCGTCTTAGTACCCAAAAATACGTACTTGTTGAGAAGTTCGAACCTCAGACCTGACTCGTACTTAGCAGGGTGATACGGACATACATGCAGATTGCATACTTAGATTAGGTAGTAGGACCTGGACAATGATACCCGGTGGCCAAAAGTACCAATCTAAGTAGTAATAAAAAGAGAGAGAAGATGGAGAGAGAGGGGCTAGTGGAGGCAAGTCAACGCCATAAATGAGAGAGACTCGGGGTGACGGAATCTCACTGCACTGGAGCTGCTGGGCTGGGAAGCTGTCCCCAATATAGTTGTTGGGTAGGACCTAGGTAAACTAGTCATGAAGAGGAAAGGGTCTCCAGTACTATTTTGCTCAGTAGTAGTGGATCATCATCATCATCATCATCATCCATCATCTTGTCCAGAATAATCGCTGACGAACGTGGATATGATTTAAAATGGGGAAAAAATAATCTCTCAAAAAGTATAACAGTTAGCTTACTGCGCTATCAAAAAAAATTGGGTAGGTGCTATAGGGATGGGGACTCCATACCTAGACTACTTGTAGACAAACCATTCACACACACTCACCCACCACTGCCCCAAGTGAGTTGGCCATCTTGGAGATTGAACTTTCCTTTACTTGCCGAAGCAGGAAATCTACGAGAGAGCACGCCGCCTCGGGAATGGAGCTATTAGTTTTCTGGGTAGTGGATTAGGGATCCCACGGGATCCTTTCACAGCCCCAGCTGGCTGGCCGAGCGAAGCGTGCATTAATTTACTAGACAGACAGACAGACAGACAGAATCCCAGGTATGTCAGTAAAAAGACTGCTAACTAACTAACTAACTACCTGGCCAACAAACGTAACCCACTAACAACGAGCTAGTGAGGTCACTAGAGGCAACTAACACCGGCCTTGGGGCTGGGGAAAAAGGTGCAGGTGAACCGGAGCGCTTAAACTGGGCGCGCCAGCACTATGGATCAGTTGAGGCCCTGAAAATACCTGCTTGGTACTTTACCGATACCGACCGATTCAGCCGGATATCAGGCTGTGTCGGGTTCCTTACGGTACCCGTGAGGTATATTGAAGGTATCTTTATTCCGTTACTTTACGCCATACTAAAAGCACTCACTCACTTCCCGAGTGCACTTACCGCCTATAAGTGCCATCAACTCACTATCAGAGCATACAGACTATTCAACCGTCGACTCCATAGCTACCATCTACTAGACTGTAGTAATCTATACAGAGCCTCTAAGCGTGAAATCATGCCACTCGAAACAGTATGACTAAGTCACCGGTTTTTCTCGGAAGGATTTCACCTCCATTCCTACCTTATGGACGATCTCAAACTAATCACTGCTCAAGGTTTTGGTGCTTCGCATTTCGTCTCCACGGATTTCACTTGCCAATCCACATCTCGATACTGATAGACTTCGGGTGTCGCTCGCAGCCCCAACAGCCCCAACTATATCTTGTTAGCTAAGTTGAATGATCAGCACTTATGAGATAGTTTGTTGCACGAGTGACATGGCTGGGTCGAACAAATGGACTTGTACCAGTTAGGGAATACATCCACCTCCAAGGTGAAAAAAAAAAAAAACAGCCAGAATGGACGGAGTCTTGACCGAAAGTAGAGAGAGGGAAAAAGGAAAGTAAAAAAAAGAAATATTTTCGACGAAAGACAGCTACAACAAAAAAGAAAAATCTGAAAAACCGGAAAAGAAAAAAGAAAAGAAAAGAAAAGAGAAAAGAGAAAAGTAAACATCTGGCTAGCTCTAACTCTGAATGAAACCATGTCGTGGCTTTGTGTTGCCGGCTGTTTTAGACCCTCGTTCACCCTCCAGGCGACGCTTATCCGGACGGGTCTTTCCTGCCTATCTACCTAAGACTAGATGCCTTAGCCCCAGAGTAGCTGCCGTGCCAATTCCTCCTAAGAAGCTAAAACAAGGCCCTCGTCTAGTTCGCATCGGCAGATGGGGCGGATGGCCTCGCTTCTCCCACTCAGGACGCCCAAATCACGATGTCTTGCATGCATGCGGGCATTATGCTTTTGCCTTCCTCCCCCCCCCAAATGTGGATGACAGACGGGTGACCGTCGTCGTTCCCATGTCAGCTGCTGATCACCGTTGCTTCTCACCTTTCTAATTCCCAGATTGCCATCCTTCAGTACACCTCGGGGGTTCTGTCTCCGTTACTTCCTTGCCTCGAGGTCGACACTTTCTTATCACAGGGTGTCTTGATAGGCATGTTTGGTGAGCTCGTTTGTCTCAACCTAATGGGTCCTTCCTGGTGGCTTAGCAGAGTCTTTAAAAACTGGGTCTATGGGCTGTAAGGATCTCCTTTCGTTGCACGCAGGCAACAGAGAAGACAGATCATCGGAGAGACTGGCTCGTCATCATCTTACTGCCATCTAAGTGGTCCACGGAAGATGCTCTGTGTTTTCATTCGGACTTTGATGTCCAGCGAGGTCGGCCCAAAGGCCAAAGAGAAACTGTGGTGTTTCAGCTACGTCATCGGGCATCAATCGCTCTGTAAACACCTCAGAAGCAAATGTGCAATAGATGGCACTTGCTGTATATCCCGCAAATTTCATGGAGACATAAAGGTGTCTTGCCTACCTTGAATTATCAGCAGCATACTCATAGACTCTACATTGCATTGTGACTGCTTCGTTGTAGAGCTTCTTGGTCTCGAAGAATGTTCTCGGACTGTATATGATGTTAGAAGTCACCGGATTAAGGAGATATCCACTTGCAGGCTGCAACACAGCCCAAACATATGCAACGAGTGCAGTTAGCATCCTCTCCCTTCCAGCAGTGAAGCTCAAATGCTAGGGTAACCCAGCATGAACTCGGGGGTGCTGCAGGCGGAAGCCAACTACTATTAGAGACGGGCGTACAGGCTGGATTGGTGGGATATAACAGAGTCTCCGAAGCTTGCATCATGGTGACCAGGCCACTAAATTCTGAAACTATTGGTGGCCGAGCTAGTCCGGATTGCCGCGTCCTTGATTGTCAGGTGGCTCCCACTTGCTTCGCTTTGTCTTTCGACCATTTCACGACCATCGTACTATCTATGGTAACATTGCCTATACTTTGGGGTTTAGAGGGTATTGGTTGGGGCGGATCTCTGATCTCTGCTGCATGCATTGAGACACGATGCTTGTACTTTTGAAATTGAGAAGTGGGACCGCAGGAGAAGTCAGGCAGTAAATCGCAGAAAATAAGAAAATAAGATAATAATGACCATTGGGATAAGGCAAAGGAACAGTAAATAGAGTAAAGTAGGAAAAGAGAGTCTGTAGATCTGTCAAGTACATATGTCGGTAAGGATCGGTGAGCTCCATGCTTCTGCAGAAAGTAGCGAATTACCTGCAGTGAGCTTGGGAAATTTCTCTGCGATCTAGCCGATCCAAAGGGCGCCATTGGCTAGCAGCAGGAAAATCGGTGGCCCTTCCTTCGTTTTCAGTGGGCGGGGCCCCCCTCTGTACTACCTCAAAGGGACTGTTGCTTCGTCTAGCTGGCGCACCCAGCTGAATTGGGATTCCCCCCCTGCTACGGAGTAGTCAATGCCTCCGTTGGTCACTAGAGTATTTCACACGCTGGATGGTTCGCTCTGAAACCCCACGGACGGGCGGTAACCTCGCTAGCCACGGCAAACAAGATTCGATCGCATTCGTATCTCCCTTATCAATACTGAACAAATCATAGCTACTGCCCGTCATTAGGTCATGAAAAAGACGGACGATGATGGTATTGCCGCGGAGTAAGGGTGTATGTCCACCGTGTCGGTATAGGGTAAATTTTCTGGTTATGCGAGCGGCACACCGGTTCTGGAAGCCTCTTCTAGCCAACTGCGGGTCACGCCAACTTGGTCTTCAGATGGTGAGCCAATTCGTGCGAAACTACATGCTATTTAGTGGAAGGTTGGCGGTAAAGCTAGTAGCTACCTGCTATCTAGTCTAGCTCTTCTCTCTATGGTAGATGAGGTACACACGTTACCTGATTAATATGTGCGGGAAGTGGAGACGAGGTGTTCCGTCCTCAGTTGATTCATCCATCGTGGCGGCTTGACGGGACCAGGCATGGCATGGGATGATGAGACTGATAGCAGACGCCAGTCAGGCCAGCGGTCGGGATCGGAATCATTCTCCGCCTTTCCATTTGTGTGCCTCTTTTCGTTCATTGTTTGCCCTGGTAATGAAAGACATAGATTTATCCTTGTGGATTCAATTGGTCCCTAAGTAGTCACCTTCTCTGCCACGGTAGCGAATCCCGGCGACTGTTGATTTTCATTTATTTTTTTTTATTATTCCTGCCCTGGGCTAAATTATGGCCCAACCCGGCACCGCTCTGTGGTACTAAAAGACACTAGGCCGGGGAAGACCACGGGGACGCAGGCGGAATTGGAAATGGGGACGAAGTGTGAGAGAAGCTGCATTAGTTCGTGCGTTAGCTCATGTTTTAGTCGGAGGAGAGGAGAGGGGGCTTTTCCCAGAGGAGTGGTTCCTGGTTGCGTGCTATTGACGGTTATCAATTTAGACCATGGGGGAGGGACGAATTTCGAGGCAAGCCGTCGGAAAAGGATGGTTTTGGAAGAATAAGGTGGCTTCGGTCTGAATTCTCGAATGTTGGTTTTCGAACCAAGGGGAGAAGAAGGTTGCGAACACGGCACCCTCGGCCATCTGACCTGCCTTCCTTCACAATCCTACGAAAGAAGTGTGTCTTACCCAAGGAGGAAGGTGAAGACGGATTATTTTTTCGAGAACTTATCAATCACGACGCCATTCGATCCTAGCAATAACAAAGCCCTTTTTCGATCGCCAGAGAACCTGCAGTGAATGGTATTGTGTCCTCATTGCTTTTTCCTCCAATATTTTCCATTTTTTTCGTATTTCATTTTTCTCCTTACCAAGCCTTCCTTCCTAACCCCCCCCCCCCCCCTCCTTTGCCTCATTATTTGCTTCCTGCTGGACTGTCAGTCTCCGAGTTGTGATTCGCCTTTTTTCAGTGCCGCTGTAGCCGTCTTCAGCTAATAGTCAACGGTTATCCTAGTGAGATTTATCTCATCCTGTACTGACCAATATTATCTATCTTCTTTTGCCGTGAATTCAAAATTGTTCGAATTTTCTCTTGACACTGTTTTACTTCCATAGGTTACGGGTCCAGATCTCCCAACCACGGAGTACGCAGGCAGCAAATCTGCGCATCGGAAGGTATCCACTCTGTGCCCTCCGTACTTTCGAACTGCTGGCCCTGCGTCGCTTAGCTGGTATTCTCATGTACGTAAGGATGTGCATACTTACATCTGTACTTATTGAATGTATGTATAGTAAGTGTACAGTCAGGGAACTCAGTAAAAGTACTATTACCCTGCAGAGAAAAAAAAAGCAACGATAAGGGGAAAAAGTAAAATACATATACATAGCCAAGTGGCTCCAGTCCATCCACAAGTCTCTCCGTTTGCCTGCACCTCTGCATAACTTTATAACCTACCTATCATCCACTCACCAGGCCAGGCGGCAATGATATCAGAATAATTGGTATGTTCACATGGAAGGGCTAGCTCCGGCTAGATCCCAGGCCCCAGGGTAGGTGATGGTATTGCCGTAGCGCATATGTGCGGCATATGCATGCAACATGCTTCACACTTGTCACCCACCTTCCTGGGAGAAGTCAAGCGATCATCAAGTTTAGACTCCGGATAGGGTAGGAACCTCTGCATGCGATCTAAAGATCCTGTGAGCTGGATGCCATTGTAGAGGACCCGGAAAGAAGGTAGGTTGGAGGAGGAGAATGGCATTATAAGTGAGAACTTGTTTGTTTTCTGGCTGCAGCCTGCATGCCTGCTTTATCCTCAGGCATCAATCTTTTCTGGGGCGTACTTTGTATTTACTAGAAACTGTGCATGAATGCATGGCTGAACTTACTTCTAGTCATGTCACAATAAGTAGATGCTAGAATGCTAGAATGTACCTTGCCACTCAGGGCTATACATTACTCCAGTAATAGTCACTGAGATTATTCTAGGCCCATCTTTACCTGCCGAGTGTATTCATGTTCCTTCTACTTGCTTGACTCTGGTTACTTTCCCCACAAGCTTCCTCATGCAATGTAGCGGTAAGACGAGTGACAACTTCCACCAACAGATCATACCTTCGATTATATCTCTACTTAACTCTCCATTATGATTGATGATCAATGCACACATTTAACTCTTCAGTTCAAATAATAATCGACAGACTAATCCGGATAGGAACATTGGCAGGAAAGACAAGGGATAATTTGGAAGAGTAGTCAGCAAAACAATTAGGGGCAAAAAACCAAAGTAAAACTGAAAGGGAAAAGAAAGCAGAAAGCAGAAAGAAGAAAGAAGAAAGAAGACATACACTTCTTTTGGTCACTTCCAGGTCTGCTGACTTGCGGTTCCCAAAAGTCCCAGTGCCAACTCCTCTGCACCCACCGTTCGTCGATCCGCGGACCTCTCACTTATCCTCCGGTTCCGACACGGCCAAGGCAGCCTTTCATCCTTCTTCATCGGAAAGAACGACAACTGCAAGGATACATATCTGCTGCTGCCAATATACTTTCAATCCTGACCTCCAGCATGTCTATCACAACATGTAACAACGATGCAGCTATGTTTCACAACATACCCTGTACTGTAACCAGAAGTACCTGATTGCTCCACCTCAGCTCTGTGGGAATCCTGTGGCTAACAGACTCATCATTTTCTTCTGGGCAGACATTACATTTTGGCTCGAACAATGTCTCAAATACTTATTTTCACGACTATGTTGATCTCTCTACATGGGCATACAGAGTATACGGCTCCGGTCCAGAGGCTCCAACTGGCGATTCCTTTCAAGGTGATAGTTCGACAAGCGGTCAGATCGGCTTATCTTTAGCAGTCAACTAATTGCGCTAATCTATCGAGTACTACCTATTGTGGGCAGCCTTCAAGTCGAAACTCGTTCTTAGGCTTACCCTTGATGCCGACATCGACTCTATAGAGCCGGCCTCCATACCGGACGGATTCCGGAAGCTGGTCATCATTGGTATCATCCTTGGCAGTCGTGATGAAGAGCTCCGTTCCCACAAAAACTGGACAGGTAATGTTTCGCGTGGGAAATGTTATCTCGCCAATGACCTTGCCCTCCGGCGAGATACGAATCACCTTTCCACCACCGTAAATAGCACTCCATATACACCCCTCCTCATCGATGGCAAACCCATCTGGCTCCTTTGGCTCCCCAATGTCAAAGAACACCCTTCGGTTGCTGATGTTTCCGGTCTCAGCATCGAAATCAAAGGCGTAAATCTTGCCGGTGGGAGAGTCGGTCAGGTACATAGTGTCATCCGCAGGATTCCAGCCAATCCCGTTGGGAATCGTCACCTGTTCAACCATGCGGTGCAGTTTCATGTCCGGGTCTAACCTGAATATCACACCTTCGTTGACTGGGTTCTGCACCTTAGGATCGTTCATGGCTCCAGCCCAGAAGCGGCCGTGGCTGTCGACGGCCCCATCGTTGAAACGCATTCTGTTTTGATGACGTTCCCGATGAGTCAGACCCCACGAGGAGGATGGCAAGGAAACTGGATTATTGACTTACCTATACTCCTTGGCCGGATCTTCCCACACTTTCTGAATATAGGACAGTGCGCCCGTGGTGCGGTCAACCAGGGCGAATCCATGTTTTGCGGCTACGACGATCTGGTTTTCGCGTGAATCCCCAGCATTCGCAATGTTGGCGGTTACTCTACAAGAGTTCGGAGTATGATATTAGTGTCCTTTTGGGCACCGCTTACGGTGTAATTATCCTGTGGGCCAAGGAGTCTAGCTAGGAGCGACATACCCGATTGACGCAGATGTGTCCATGATCTTCAGGGAGTCGGGGCCTTTGGCCAGGTCCAGAACGTATAGTTTCTGCTCCCAGATATCGACAAAGCGAAACTCATTTCTGGTCTTGTCGTGAAACGGTCCTTCCAATAAGGTTCCTGGTACATCGACATACGGCTGCATACAGAAACCAGTGTGAGGATCAGCCTCCTAGTTCTTACCTCCTTGGGCCGGTCGCCTTCATTCAAAAATAAACGTGAGATACCATACCTCAGAGACCGTCCACTTTTGGTACTGGAAGCCGGACATTTCGATGGCAGGCTGATGTGCAATCCTCAGAACCGGTGCTTCAGATATGGGGTTCAGATCGGGAGCAACCGTGGACTCAGCTGGGTCGAGACACCCTAGTCAGTTTAAGGAATATGCGCGGCGGCTAAAACCAGACGATTGCTGGAAAATGGAACCGTTGTGTGAGTGCTGAGGAATCCAGCCCGAAAGAGAGAATCGATAGTCGAAGTCTCATGGGCAGCTTTTCGGGATTGTCCTCGGTTGCCAAGCCCAGTCGCCAGTCGTCCCCGCACGAACCTCATCGAACACTTTTCTGGTTCTTCTCACCTTAGCGTTAGGGAGCTCATGGCTAGTGGGGCTAGCTGGCTTCTGTGTGCTACGGTGCTAGTCTACGGAGTACTATCTACGTACCAGCACAGGCAGTCTGGCAGTCTGGCACTGCCCATCGGGTCACTGCTCCGTGTCAAGTTAGTCGGTACTTTCACCGGTGGGTAGCCCAATCCAGGTGCCACGGGTGCTAATCAAGTCTGGACTAAGCAAACCGCGTCGGTTTCAGCTGAAACTCGGCCTCCTGCTCGTTGTGCCAATAAATAGACATAGTGTCTCATCGGAGGTTCGTGTCTCTCACGGCTCAGGAAAGTACTTCAAAGGTCCAAACACCCGGCTCGATGGTATTTTCACTATTGAGACCGCCGGGATTTTGGTGGACACGATTATTGAAACCCACCATCCAGGCGCGACTCCACCCAATGGAGCTGACTATCACCTGTCATGTGAATTGGTATCAGCTATCTGGACCAACAGTTTCGTCACAGCAAACGTGGGAAAACTTATCGAATGAATGCCCAGGAAAAACAAAGACGAGAAGGAAGAGGAAGCCAGGTACCCACCGGCGAATGCGTTTGATCGGGTTAATTGAATGGAGTCTCACCATGACGCCAGCCAGCCTTGGTGCTGTCAGTGACAGGGTGCGGCAGGCTTCCCGTGTTCCGCCTCATTTGTTCCAGACAAGGGTCGCGGTGGAGCAAAATCACATACGGGGCGATGTTACGGACAAATAGGAATGCACCCGCGGAGACCTCTCCTTGGAGCATTGTGGCAGTCTGGAAAATATGGCGACAGCCAGTAGCGGTTTAGTTTAGGGCTTAAAGCAAGCTGCGCGACAGAGCAGGATCAAGCAATGTGAGTCCCGGATCTAAAAGCGTTCCTTGGATGCAGACACGGCATATCCGCCCAGGGTCCCAAATTTCGGAATGACGTGGAAGATTTCCCTACCAGTTGGAGGCCAGCCTTCTGACTTACAGCCGTTACAAACGACAGCTCCCCTGCACTGACCACCCAAGATTCCTAAAATTTGGATCTTACTGGTAGTATACCTACCTTGTCCAAAGGTCGCGACTAGTTACATTGTACAATGTGTGTCGTGCCAAGAAAAAAAGGGCATTAAGCAACAAAAAGAAAGCAAAAGAAAAAGGGAGACCCAAAAAAAGCAAAAAACGAGTCAGAGAGATGGATAGTAAAGGAGCAGCTACAGTATTCCTAGATTGCGATTCCTTCGGGACTGCGCCAACGCTAGGCAGGATCCTCGCCTATGGTTTGGCAGACTTACGTTGCTTTTGCTGGCTAGACCGGGTTACTCTAGCTGACCTAGTGAGAGAGTTGCAGCACAGACTGAGACTTTGTGACTGCCCCCATCCAGGCGGTCTAGCAACATGGCTATTGATGAGCGAGACTACACGCCGACAACTTAACGACGGAAGTGACCTTGATCTCCGTCTATCTGGGGTGATCGTCGTCATAGTGCTAATCATGTACGAAAGAAGTAAAAGAGGGTGATAAAGAACGGTCGGTTGATGGGGGGCGTTGGCCACAATCCGCGACGCTGCATTGATTGACGGTCGGACGGCCCAACATTGGGCCATCGACGGTGCAGATATACGAACGAACGGAGTCGGCCACACAACCTTAATAGGTCATCCAGCGTAGCCAGGCGGGGGGAAGAAAGCATTCGACCAGCTCAACGGTGATGCATCAGTTGGGCGGGCAGACAGTACCTGCAGGAGGCAAACACGACCGATATTTCGAGCCAGTGTTCGGTGGATCACTCAAACCAGCAATGTGTCCGCGAAAAATGCGGTGTGCGGCAGCAGACTGGATGCGGCGTGTCATGTCAGTCATATCGGTAGCTGGAAGACTCTAGCCAGTGGGTATAGGTTTAGGTGGGTAGTGGGCTGTGGGCAAAGAGCCGGCGGCGCGCGGGCTTTGGGGGGGAAGAGGGGGATATCCCCGACCGTTGTAAAGTGAGTGGTCACATTGAAGAGAGGGGAAGGATGAAAGGAGGAAGGAGGGGGGTGTGATGCCGCATGGCATGTTGAGATTGAAGATGGATGTACTTATGTATGCAAGTGTGTCCAGATTTAGTTCTCTCCGCGCGCGGTGCGATTGCAGGCGGCGAGGAGCAGCGATGGGGCCGCACGGCGCGAGGCCTAGGCAGCCCTCACATGATCGATTCTTCATGCACGACAATGTAACTTTACATGGCGGGTGCAGGTACGGGGCCCTGCGGTATGGTATGTATGTATGGTATGTATGGTATGTTTGGGTGTCGGATTACGGTAAGTATGGTATTTCCATTACCCAGCAGGAAAGTTGTTGACTATCAAGTAGGAGAATCCATGTCGAGCACTGAATCCTCTTGACAAAGAGGGGGAAGGAAAGAGTAGGAGAGAGACTGTATACGCAAGTGTCTGAGCAATCCCATGTCATGTGTGGCGACTGGGAAGACAGACAGGATCAACCCTGATCAGCCAGCTAAGACCCCCTCTCTCACACACTCTCTTCCTTCTCCCCGGAGCCAGCAACTCCGGCAAACCCATGCCCAGCATGCTCCAACCTAGCTAACCACCTACTAGTTAGAGTAAAGTAACTCCTGTAAGCCCCGACCCCAGTTCCAGTCCCAGTCGCAACCCGCCACGACAGTCACGACACATGGCTCTACGTTCGCAATGCAGCTAGCTAGCCCCCCAGCCCAGCCAGCCAAAAACCAAATCCTCCGTCCATCCTTCTGCCTATCTCCTCTGCTACAAGAAAACCTGGTAGGTACCTAACCTGCCTGCACATTGCCCTTCCCCTCCCTCCCTTTCCTACCAATGGCGATGCACGGACACGTGAATTCGACAAATATTTGACGCTTGGCTGATGCTCATTGGGTATTGGCTTTATGTATGTGGCTTTTTTGGGTATTTCTTGCATTAGGTTGGGGGTGGTGCTTGCTGTGTGTTGGCATTAGTGTCGGTGGGAGTAGTTGCTGGGAGGGAAGTGTACTACTTACTAAGTTGGTAAGTGGTAGGACCATGTTCTATCCTGAGGTAGTAAGTAGTATGTAATGAAAGTGTGTGTGGGTTGAACAAACATGAAGTAGTTCAGTAAATGTTTGAGTTTAATTAAGAAACTTGCAATGATACTACACTATGAAACTTGAATCATCCATGTTGCTGGTGGGTATATATCTGTCAACAATTATGACCTACCGAGGCTTAACATAAACCTAATAGTGGCTCCTAGCATCTTAGTATCAAGCAGTTATCAGTTTGCTTGATGTTTAGCATATGTCTACCCGCAATAACTACCTAGCCTAGTAGCTAAGCCCAATAAGCAGTGTTAGTTAACTTCATTCTTCAACTCCCAACATACAAACATTCAATCAATCACCACTCAAACACACACACATACCTACCTACATATATGTATCTATGTATGTAAATAAGTATCTTCGATGCAACACACAAACACGCACGCACACACAGTGCAGCAAACAAACTCTATTGAAAGTAATCCCAAAGCAAACCGCATGAATCTTTTCAAAAGTAAGATGATACATGCATACTCCGCTTACAATTTCTAAATATCTCATCGGAAGATATTCTCAACTTCAATACTCTTATTCTAGTGTTTGTTTGGATACAGTTCTGTTTGCTTTCTTGACTGCAGTGTCTTAGATATAATCCTATGCGTCATGAAAAGTGCAGTATGGACTGCAGGATGTGAGGCAGATAGATAGATAGAGAAGTTCGAAGCGAGGATTGTGTTTCCGGATGTAGTTAGTGGCGGGTTCTTATATGAACTTCTGGTTGGGATGATGATGATGGATAGAGTCATGATGTGTAGTAGGATACAATCTTGCAGGTAGATTCAACCTATATTGATATCATAATAGCATTATATCCATTTTTTAATTAGAGTAACATGACTGTTTGAAATAAATATATATATATATATATATATATATATGTAGGTAGTACTACCTACTCTAAATAACTCACCTACTTAACCTCAATATTTCGGTAGTACTAATCCATTTCTAATATCAACTAGTAATATGAAGATTAGAGGGATATCAGTCACAAAAATTCTACTAACCCTGCACACATGCAATGCAAGTAAGTTAAGGGATGGGATGGGATGGGATGGGATGGGATGGGATGGGATGGGGGATATCTACCGACATGCAGATGGAAAAAACGCACATACCACATTTCATATTAAGTATGTATGTCACTCCCACTCCTATTCCCACTTTCTCTTCTTGCTACTTACCACATCGCAATTCAAACTTGATATCTTCATTATATTATATATCAAATAATCAATTACTTATGATCATGTCTACGACTACCGCCACATGTACATGTACATGCACCCTGCACGAAGCACTGAGTTGTCACTTACATACCACATACCACCTACAGACAAACTACAAATCACACACTCTACAATAGTAGCACATACAGTACCAACTCTCCTACATAGAGAATAGAAAAAGTATATGCAAGTAAGAAAAACTCTCAGCAGCCAAGAAAACCATCCATCTACCCCATCTAGAATCTAACCCCCTTGCTTCCCTAACAACACTCACAAGCAAGCAAATCATCTGTGCTTCTTACATGTGAGTAAGCCCAGTTCTTGTCCAATCGGTCTAGGGTTCCCATTATATTCTGTAATAGCATAAGCAAGCAAGCAAGTAAAGCAAGGAAAGCGAAGTATAATTATATGGGAAGTCAGATCAGGTACTCATGCTTTGCATTTAGAGTGTTTGGGCTTGGCGCGGGGGAGAAAGTAACTCAAGTTGTTGGATTTGATTGATTGATTGCAAGGTATGTATGTATGGGTTTGAAACCGGATTTAAATCGTGACTGTTGGGTTTCTTTTGTTTGTCTTGGTTGACTTAGTGAGATTGAAATGGTTGGGTTTGGTAGGTGCTTGTATCGTTAGGTGAATGTGCATGGTTTTTATTGATGTGCAGATGGATGGACATGCATGCTGATGTTGATTTGGGTGTGGGTATTGTGTGGAGACAGGTAAGCGAGTACTCTGTCCTAGGTATATATGTTGTGAGATCTGGTATCTGGATGTGTAACATTTGGGCTTGTCTTTAGGCTAAAAGGGGTTGTTTGTGGCGGGTTGGGTGCTACATCACGGCTTACGGTGGAATGTGAAAGATCACTCAGGCTTAGATTCACAGCCTGCTTGCCAGTTGACATGGCTGAATTATAATACATTTTTTCATCATCAGTCAGGGTATAGTCAAGTTGGCAACAACACACCAACTTTATGTCAGTCATCGGGTACACGACATGCAGCCAATGTCGCAGAGCCACATAGCATCTCTCTTTCCCTTCATGCAGCGCCATCAACACAACGGTCCATCGGATGAATGTGTATGTGTTCGTCCTACCAGGCTCGTCCCACAGATCACGGTTGTAATTCATTCGCCATCATTTGCACAACCTGTGCTCGCCTACAGCTTCGTTCCCAGGTTGACATGGACCGCTTTGACCTGTGAGTAGGCCTCCAGACCGGCCTCGCCAAGTTCGCGC